TTATTTGTCAAACCCGAGCATAGAACAACCGATCACAAAACAAGAAGCAATGTGTGTGGACTTGGGACCAAGCTGGATGGATGCAATTGTTGCATTCCTAAAAGAGGGAAAGCTGCCAGAAGACCATAAGGAAGCACACAAGGTCAGATTGAAGATTTTTTAATGTGCGTACACCCTTTGCAGGTTGAAGATTTTTTATACGAAATTCATGAAGGGATTTATGGAAGCCACGCTGGGGGCAGATCACTAGCTCACAGGGCCATTACCCAGGGGTATTGGTGGTCCTACATGCAAAAAGATGCAGAAGCCTACGTGAAGAAGTCTGAACAATGCCAAAGGTTCGCACCTTTGATACACCAGCCAGCTGCTGACCTGAACCCTGTATCCAGTCTATGGCCATTTGCCCAATGGGGCATGGATCTCATTGGGCAGTTGCCCCAAGCAACTGGGCAAATGAAGTACTTATTGGTAGCAATAGATTACCTCATGAAGTGGATAGAAGCAGAACCTCTTGCCAAAATCCGAGATGTGGACGTTACGAACTTCATATGGAGAAACATCATCACCAGATTTGGCATTCCAAGAGCAATAGTTGCCGACAACGGAACGCAGTTTGACAGCAAACTCATCAAGAACTTCTGTGCGAAATTCAAGATAAAGAATTACTTTTGAACACCAAGTTTTTCCCAAAGCAATGGGCAAGCAGAAGCATCCAACAAAGTAATTTTGGATGGGATAAAGAAGAGACTGCAGGCAGCAAAAGGAAAGTGGGTAGACGAGTTGCCCAATGTACTCTGGGCATATCGGACTACGCCGAGAAGATCAACAGGGGAAACCCCCTTTGCCATGGCCTACGACACAGAAGCAGTCATCCCACTGGAGATCGGCATCCCAGGGATCAAAACCCAGGGAGTAAAGAATGAGACTAATGACATAGTTCTAGCCCGAGATCTGGATCTCTTAGAAGAAAGAAGGGAGAAAGCTGCAATTCAGCTCGCAGCATACCAGCAGCAATTTGCTAGAGCTTACAATAAGAAGGTTAATCTAAGGGATTTTCAGGTCGGCGACCTAATCCTGAGGAAAGTTGTTGGCAACAAGAAGGACCCCAGAGAGGGCAAGCTTGGCCCAAATTGGGAAGGACCCTACAGAATCACTTCGGTATTGGGCAATGGAGCATACCGATTTGAAGATAATGAGGGCAAAGTATTGCTAAGACCTTGGAACACTTGTAATTTGAAATTTTTCTATCATTAGATGTTCCTTGTTATTTTTTACCGACGTCATCAATAAAATTTTAGCAGATTTCTCCAAAGACTTGTGAATTGATAAAAGCTGCATACTGTTGTTTCTGAATAATGAGAACCCAAGTAGAACTCAGGTTCAAATTGGGGGCAGAGAGAAGACACAAATGCTTAAACGCTTGTTGAAATTTGTAGCAATTTACAAGGTGAAGTTAAGCCGAGATAAGTGTTTATCTTCACTTATTGAAATTTGTGGCAATTTACAAGTTGAAGTTAAATCAGAGTAATGCTTAACACTTGTTGAAATTTGTAGCAATTTACAAGGTGAAGTTAAGCCGAGATAAGTGTTTATCTTCACTTATTGAAATTTGTGGCAATTTACAAGTTGAAGTTAAATCAGAGTAATGCTTAACACTTGTTGAAATTTGTAGCAATTTACAAGGTGAAGTTAAGCCGAGATAAGTGTTTATCTTCACTTATTGAAATTTGTGGCAATTTACAAGTTGAAGTTAAATCAGAGTAATGCTTAACACTTGTTGAAATTTGTAGCAATTTACAAGGTGAAGTTAAGCCGAGATAAGTGTTTATCTTCACTTATTGAAATTTGTGGCAATTTACAAGTTGAAGTTAAATCAGAGTAATGCTTAACACTTGTTGAAATTTGTAGCAATTTACAAGGTGAAGTTAAGCCGAGATAAGTGTTTATCTTCACTTATTGAAATTTGTGGCAATTTACAAGTTGAAGTTAAATCAGAGTAATGCTTAACACTTGTTGAAATTTGTAGCAATTTACAAGGTGAAGTTAAGCCGAGATAAGTGTTTATCTTCACTTATTGAAATTTGTGGCAATTTACAAGTTGAAGTTAAATCAGAGTAATGCTTAACACTTGTTGAAATTTGTAGCAATTTACAAGGTGAAGTTAAGCCGAGATAAGTGTTTATCTTCACTTATTGAAATTTGTGGCAATTTACAAGTTGAAGTTAAATCAGAGTAATGCTTAACACTTGTTGAAATTTGTAGCAATTTACAAGGTGAAGTTAAGCCGAGATAAGTGTTTATCTTCACTTATTGCAGAGTTTCTTCAACACTCTTGTCCGCAAAGGAGATGTCGGCTGGTGCATTCTCGGGAACAGCTTCTATGGGAACCTTATCACCTTCCTCATCCTGAGTCAAGTCTAGGACTTGCTCATTCTGGGGAGGGAACTTGGCCCCATTAGCATCCTTGGATTTTCTAACCAAGGCCTGATCCTCATCCTCATCATTTTCCTCGGATTCGGATTCGCCGACGTCTTGATTTGGAGGAAATGGCAGAGGAATGGCATCAGGTTTTCTTAATGGCGAGTCCTCTGGGACGTTAAGTTTTTTCAGAAGGGACATCCAACCAAGGGTAAAACCCTTGTTGCATGCCTCCTTCACTTGCTGTTCGTAAACATCAGTGACGTCGGCCATGCCTTGGGCATATGCCTTTTCATCAGCATCTTTTATTTCAGTCTCTTTGGTGGCCAAGGCATCTTGAAGCTCTTTCTCGGCTTGGGCCATCTTCTCCTCGGCCTCCTTTCTTTGGGACTCAGCCACTTTCCTGATAGCCTCAGCAGCCTCAGCCTTCTCTTCGGCATTAGTCTGAGCTTTAATTGCAGCCTCGGCTTGATCCTCCTGCTTCTTCATTTTTGATTCAAGGCCCTTATTGATCTTTTGGAGAGAAGAGAACTCCTTCATCATGTCGACCAACTTTTGCCGATTTTCAAAGGACTGAACAGAAAAGGAGTGGGCATGCTGGATTGCCTGAAAAAAAACTCAAGGCAAAAATTAGCACAAAATTTTCTAAATACAAAACAAAAATAAGAAAATTACTAAGAATGAGACACTTACTTGAATGGAGCGTTGAAGCATCAACGCATAATTCTCGTACTCGTTCAACTCGGCGTTGCGGTCAAGGTCGCCGGGAAGGAGCAGAGCTGTGCTTAGGGCTACGCCAACATTGATGTCGCCGGCACTATCAGCAGCCAAGACTGGCTTGTCCTCCAGCGCAATTTTTGGGGACCAGGGGGCATTGCTCTTCTTGGATCCCGAAGTCGTAGCGGAAGAATACCTCGGTTTTTTAGATTTTGGGGACTCTGATGGCTGGGTTTCTGAGTGCCTCTTCCCAGCAGAGGGTTGAGGTTTGTCACTCTCCGCCAACCTTGAAATAGGCAGGGTATCTTCAAACTCAACCTAGGTTACCTTAGGCTTTGGTTGGGCCTTCTTTATTCTTTTCGGCTTTGATGGAGGTTGGGTTTGTGTTGGCTGCTCATCAACAGATGATGGAATATTGGCCAGAAGATCTTTTGCAACAGGCTTAGGGCGGCCCATCTCGGCAGTAAGGATAAGTTGCCGCCGACGTTTTTGTTCTGATATTGGGATCAAGTATGGAGCCGAGGTTGATGGCTGACCAGCTAGATCGGATGTTGATCCTTGATCTGTTCGTGATGTGGATATAGTCAATGAAGTTGTAGCAGAGGGTGGAGAAAGGCTTTTCTTCTTCCTTTTGGGAACGTCGGGCAAAGTTGACTTGTATGATGGAATAAAATTGAGAAGCACAGGCGCTTTTCTCTTATGGACTGGCAAGTCCAGAAGTTTCTTCAAATCCTTGCTGGGGACAAAGGATTAGCGAAAATTTTTTGGTAGCTGACGAACAGCTGCAAGAAGAACAGACGTCAAAAACAGACAAAGTATTTAACACTTTGAAGGAAAACAGGCAAAGATGAATACTGGGCTCTTACCCTTACCCTCTAAAACTAATCGGGGAAGAGGGTAGAGATGGATGTCCTCGTCTGGAGCAAACTCCCAATTTCCCGAGGTAATGAGATAGTCATCTCCAGCCCCCTTGTTGGAGTCTGGGAGGTCGGCTACGATTTTGAATTCTGTAGACCTCGGCTTAAGGTAATAAATGAAGCCTTTTTCTTTCAAATTAAGGGCACACATGGTATAACAGTACTGGATATCGGCTAGGGTGATCCTAACGTTTTCCTGTTTAGCTAAGCCAATAATACCAAAGATCACTCGATAGGAATTGATTGCCAGTTGCATGGGGTTCAACTTATAATAGTGAAGAATCTCGCGAAAAAGGATGTTGAGTGGGAGCCGGAGTCCGCACTCAGTAAAAGCAACAATGGGAAAGGGCATGGCGTTTTCTGTAAGCTTTCCTATGGAATGATAAATGGTGATTCTATTTACAATATATATATATATATACATATTTTTTTTAGTCAACCAAACATGAGAGTGGACACTTTCATATAATGATAATTCCACTCCACTACTAAGAACGTAAAAATTTGAGTAAAACTAATTTACTTATAGGAAATTTAGGCAAATAAATATCATAAATCTTATTTGATAGATCAAATAATTTTAAAAATATTAATTTTATTAAAAACTAAAATCTAAATAAAAGCTATATTATTTTAGTACTCATAGTATGTGTTAATTTTTCAAAACAAACTTTTTGTACTTGCCCTTAATCCATTAAAATTTTATTACGAGGGCTCTGATCAAATCCCCTTAGACATATTTCTCAAAGTTTTATTAAGAGTGGCTTTGGCTAAATCCCTCTTTACTTCCTTTACTTTTTTCAGACATATTTCTCAACCTACCAAAGGGAACATGAAAATAAAAGCCGAACAATGATTTCACAGTAAGTTAATATTATAATATGAAGCTCCAAGGATGTGATTCAAGGCTAAAGTTAAGTTGAAGGGGAGTTTGAGAGGGAGAGAAACCTGTATTGATTAAAGTCGGGAACAATGGCGGAGATGGTGGCGTTCTTGATGTGGAGAGGAGTAGGGAAATCGGGGAAGCCTTCGGCGAGGTTGACGGCATTGCATCTCTTGGCAAGTAGCGACAATTGTTGAATTGGAGAAGGAGGAGGAGCAGGGAATTACACCCAAATAGCATCACTACCCCGTTGAGTCCTCGAAAGACCTATAACGAAGTCCATCGTGATATGCTCCCACTTTCACTCGACTATAGGCAAGGGTTACAATAAACCCCCTGGCCTCTAATGCTCGATCTTCACTTGCTGACAAGTAAGGCACTTAGACACAAAAATAGCCACATCTTTCTTCATCCCCCGCTACCAAAATTGGTGACCCAAATCGCGATACATCTTAGTGCCTCCCGGATGCATTGCAAGGCATGAATGGTGAAACTCTCGGAGTACTTCTTCTCGGCAAAACTCCGGCACAAACAAGCGGCCTCGGTACCTCAAACTCAGGCTGGGATACACAGTCAAACCCTTCTCAACCTTCCCACTGGAGATCTTCTCCCGGAGGGATTCTACCTCAAGGACACTCCTCTGTGTCTCTAACACTCAATTCACAAGTGTGGGCTGCGCAACTACAGAAAACAAGGTCGCAGACTCAACAGATTTGCCCAGGAGCAAATCAAACTCGCCAAGTGCAACAAACATTTCCCACTCCCGGATGGCCATACAAGCTACATCACTAATGGATTTCCTACTAAGGGCATCGGCCACAACATTGGCTTTACCCGGGTGATAGTGCAACTCAAAGTCGTAATCCTCAATAAACTCCATCCACCCCCTCTGCCTCAAATTCAAGTCTTTCTGTGTAAATAGATACTTCAAACTCTTATGATCCAAGAACACTTCGAACCTCTCACCATAAAGGTAGTGCCTCCAAATCTTCAAGGCAAAAATTACAGCTGCTAACTTTAGGTCATGTGTAGGATAATTCTTCTCGTGTATTTTCAACTGACATGAGCCATAGGCTACTACTTTCCCCTCTTGCATCAATACACAACCCAAACCCTCTCGTGAGGCATCCCAATATACAGTATAACCCAAACCCCTTTCCGGAATAATCAAAACTGAAGTGATGGTAAGTCTAACTTTAAGTTCTTGGAACGACTTGTCGCAAGTCTCACTACATACATACTTGACCCCTTTCTGCGTCAACCTAGTCAACGGCGAAGCTAGCCTAGAGAAATCTTTCACAAACCGATGGTAATAACAGCCAATCCCAGAAAACCACGGATCTCAAAAACACTCTTAGGTTGTGCCCAGTCCTGCACTGCCTCTACCTTGGATGTATCTAGACGCCCTTTCCCCGGAGACTACATGGCCTAAGAATTTTACCTCTCTTAGCCAAAACTCACACTTCTCAAACTTAGCATACAGCTTATGAGCTCTAAGCAACTCAAGCACCACTCTCAAGTGTTTCTCGTGTTCCTCCTCAGAAGGTGAATAAATTAGAATGTTGTCCACAAAGACAACCACAAAGCGATCTAAGAACTCCCGGAATATACGGTTCATCAAGTCCATAAACACTGCCGGTGAATTGGTTAGCCCAAAAGGCATCACTAGAAACTTATAATGGACATACCGCATACGGAATGCCGTCTTCAGAATATCTTCCTTCCTGACCCTCAACTGATGGTAACTCAATCTCAAGTGTATTTTAGAGAAACAACGGGACCCTTTTAACTAGTCAAACAAATCATCAATACGGGGCATAGGGTACTTGTTCTTAACTGTAGCCCGATTCAACTTCCGGTAATCAATACAAAGTCTCAAAGCCCCATTTTTCTTTTTAGCAAAGAGGGGCGGTGCTCCCCACAGCGAAGTACTAGGGTGGACAAAGCCCTTATCTAGCAACTCCTGGAGTTGAATCTTCAACTCATTCAACTCGGCTGGGGCAAAACGACACGGCGGTGGTTTATGCAAGAGAAAACTGACACTTCATAACCAAAGTAAACAACAGTTATTAATGGTTTGTTTAAAAAGTAAACAAACCGTTATTATACCAAAAATGAGCTAAATAAGAAGTATGAAAAAATTCCCCTCATGAGACTTGCTAAATCTAATCAGCAACATGTATCGCAATCAACAGTGACCTACAAT